TCGTGATGCTGAACGACCGGCTCGTCCTCGTGGGGGCGACGGATGGGTCGTTGGTCGTCTTCGATGTGAATCGCCGACGCCCCATTGGGGGGGTGGGGGCCGCGCACGGCTACGATTCCCTCGCCGACGGCACCGGCCTCGAACGGACAGCGCGGGACCCCCCGTCGGGTTCCCGGCGTCTGCCGAACCCGATCACCGCCCTGGCGGCGGTGCCCTACGCAGACGTCGCCGCCTCCGCGAGCTACGACGGCGTCGTTCGCGTGTGGCGGATTTCAAGCGCGGAGGACCTAGGAGGGGGGGTGCGGATGAGTCCCCTCAGCGAACTCCCCGTTCGCGCGCTCGTGACGTCGTTGCAGTTCTCGAACGACGGGGATGTGTTGAGTGTGGGGTGTAGCAAGGAAAGTCGACGGGGGCGGTGGGTGGTGCAGAAAAGCGCGTTGAACTCCGTTTGCGTGATTCCCCTCACGGCGACGGGCGAGGCGGTGGTGAAAAGGCCGGGGATGCCGCACGCCATCGAGCACGTGCCCGCCCGACTTTTCCACTTCGACGAGGTCGACAACGACCGCGAGGGCACGGATGAACCTGAAAGCTCCAACGAGGACGAAGACGGGGAAAAAGAGGAGGGGTATCGGAAACATCGGTCGCTGCCGCCGCGCGGTGGGCCCTCCACCGAACTCCAGGGCAATGACGCCGACGACGAGGAGGAAATCCTTTCCGAAGGCGGTGAAAACGAGGAAACGGATGACTTTTTCGACGTCGGCGAGGACGGCCAGCTCATCCTCCGACGCCGCGAGGATCCGGCCGATTCACACGTCGACCTCGAGGAGAAAGGCGGCGGGAAACCCCTCAAAAAGAAGGCCGCAGGTGGCAAACTCAAGGCAAAGAAGGGGAAGACAGGGGTTGTGATGAAGGAGAAGAAGAAAGTAGGAAAGGGCCCGCGGCTGCAGCATCCCGCAAAGAAACTAAAAAAAATGCGAAAGGCGAAGTAAACAAACAAACAAAAAAAGAAAAAGGTCCGAGTTAGACGTGGAAGCTCGCCTTGAAACGTGTGGGGTTTTATTACGATGCGGAGGAAGCCAGCCATGGTGCTGGATTAGCGTGTGAGAGGCGGGTTTGTGGCCGCAGTTGCATTCTCCCAATGCGTCCCCTTGGGGGGGGTTGATTCAGAAAGATACCAATGTCTGCCATGGAACGAGGCAAAACAAACCAATCTGAAGCGGAAAGGATTTCTCCCTCCCTTCCCTCCCCCTCCAAAAAAAAAAAGATAAAGAATGATGATGACCAAGAGAAGCAACATCACAGCGCGCTCACCGACTCGCTGACATTTGCATTCATACGTTTAAGCACAATGATTAATGACATTAGCACGAATAAAAGATTCTAAGATAACATTAAAGTGAATAGAGAAGGGGAAACCCCCTAAAAAGCACACGTCGAACCTCACCCTTTCCGCCTTAATTCAGGTGTAACTTAATGGAAAGGGGATACTCATGATGGTTAGACTGTAATGTTCATTCACCTATTGGTTCATAGTATAAACACCATAAGGATATATATATATATATATATATATTCCCCCTCCAGACGTTTTTCTTCCCTTTTTAGGGTTTTGCGAACCAAACTAAGCCACAAAAATGGAAGGATGGATCCCACGCCGCCGCTGATCAATCCCACGGATTCTGTTGAATCTCATCAACGCCCTGCCGCAGCTGCGGAAACGAGGGATCCCGTGGATTCTTCAAAGATTATGGTTTCCCCTATGGAGGAGGCCGCCGAGGACTCTTCTCCTCCCCCTCTCAACTTCGTCATTCCGGGTGCGATCCCGCATAAGTATTATCGCGTTCCCGACGGCCTCAAATCGATCCGTCCGAAGCGCAAAGTCGCCCTCGTTTTTGGCTACATCGGTGAGAAGTACTGCGGGCTTCAGTGGAATCACCTGCCAAACTACCCCACCATCGAGGAGTCGTTGTTAAAAGCGATGTTCGAGTGCGATCTCATCAGCGCGGAGAACTTCCGCAGCGCGAAGGTGCAGCAACTCATTGGGTTTGAACGGGCAAGTCGCACCGATAAGGGCGTGCACGCGTTGCGAAATGTAATTTCGGTGAATCTGATGCTCCCGTATAGCGCCGCGTACGTCGCGGCGTGGGAACGGCAACAAGAGGAAGGTAAGAAAGAAATTTCTGAGGAAGAAAATCGGTTGAACCCCCCCTTTAACGACAACGACGACGAGGAAGAAGGAGGCAAATACAGCTATGAAGCGGTGAAAACGCTTCTGAACGAGGCGCTTCCGGAGGATATCGTCGTCTACGATGTCGTTCCCGCCACGCGAAGTTTTAACGCCTATTTATGCTGTGGGGGACGGCAATACGAATATTATCTACCCACCTTCGCGTTGATGCCGCGGGAGCTTTACATTTCGCGGTTTTTTCCCGCCACCTTGGCGCCGGCGGATCCTTTGCCTGACGTCGACGTGCGCGTTCTCACCGGAGGAGGAGGAGGAGGAGGAGGAGGAGGGAAGGCTTCGAAAGAAGGGGAAACCGCGCACGACAGCCCTGCCTTTTTCCCCCGCCGCGGGCATTTTCCAATGCGGAAAAGCAAACGAAGACGGCTTTCCGCGCAACCCAAAGAAGCCGTGAAGGTCGCGGAAACCAATCACACCGCAAACGAGTCGCCAAACGAACCCACGGCGGATGAAAACGACGCGGAAAAAAACGTGGAAGAAGACATGGAAGCAGCAGACGAGATGACAAGGAGCGAGGAAAAAGGCGATGAAAGGAATCCACGCACGGCCACTACCGAGGAGCAGGAGGAGGAAGAGGAAGAGGAAGAAACGACGAAAACTTCTCCGAATGACGTCGAGGCGGCATCTGGGATGGCGCTCTTCCGCGGTATTCCCTCCTCCGCGATGCGGGAGGTGGCGGCGGGGTATCGCCTCCCCCCTTCTCATCTCGCGCGCGTTCGTCAGCTTTTTTCGCGGTTTGAAGGAACCCATCGTTTCCATCGTTTCACCCCCGGTGGGAAAGCCGGGGACCCGCGTTGCGATCGATTTCTCCGTCGTGTGGAGGTGAGCGATCCGTTTATCGTTCATCCGACGGATGAGGAAATTATGGAGGCGGTGGAGTCGTGGACGCCCTTTCGTTTCTTTTCGCCCGATGACGGCATCGCGGAGGCTTTTCGCGCGCGATGGGAAGCCCTTCAAGACGACGACGAAGAGGGGGAAAAGGAGAAAACGGATGCGGAAAAGCGCGAGAATCCCGCGAAGCGTGGGGCTCGTGACGCGACCGGGCATCCTTCGGATCGCCAACCGCCCCTACCTCGCATTTCCCGCGTCGAGATCGGGGAAGAAGGCGCCGAAGGAAACGAAAAAAACGAAAAAGAAGCAGAAAACGAAAACGAAAACGACGGCGGGGAGTTCGATGCGCGCCGCGTGGCGCGTCTTCGGCGGGAGGTTCACCGCCACCTCCGCGCGACCTACGGCGACGGCGGGCTCGAGGTCGTCCGCATCGCCCTCGACGGGCAGAGTTTTTTGCTGAATCAAATCCGAAAGATGATCGGCGCGGTCGTGGCGATGCTCGCGGCCGGGCTTCCCGATTGGTTTCTCGAAAAAGAACTGCTTTGCGTGGAAACGGGGCGGATTCGCGGGATCCCGATGGCGCCCGCGAATGGTCTTTTGCTTTCCTCGCTCGAGTTCACCCGTTATAACCACCGCCTCGCGCGGATCCAAAAGGGGGGGCGGAACGCGAGGGATAAACGACCGTTGGTGATGGACGCGATTCCTTCCGAGGAGCTCACCCGACAGCGGCGGCGAACCGTTGCGGTGGTGTTGCGAAACGAAATGGCGGGGGATATCATGGGAACGTGGATGCGATCCCTGCGGAGCGTGTTGCGGACGGTGTGGAATATTGAATTACCCTAACACGAAATAGGGGGGGGATTTTCGTTTTTATTTTCGTTCTTTACCTTTGGGGAAGGGGGTGGGGGTTAATTCTAATTGATGTCACGGGGTTGAGAATGGGAGTTTGCATCAGGTATAAATCGAATAAATAAATCAATAAAAAGAAATAGATCGCTATATAGGGGGGTGGGGTGGGGGGGGGTTCACCTGTTGGTTTATTTTTGAACGGGATTACGTCTTTCTTTCACATCGATTCCCTTATTCGCCTCTTCCCGTCTACCACGATTTGATTCCTCATACTTTCATTTAGCCGTTGCATGTTACTTTTCTATAAAAGTATCATTAATCATTATAAAGTTCTAAGGACTAGTAATTTCGAATAATTTATAGTTTTTCGTTCGTTTTCCTTTCTTTTTTTATTATATTGGTTTTATTCTTTTTTTTTTCTAACATAAAAGGTATTGCTAGAATTTTTAGAAGTTTTTCACCCCTTTAGCTGTTCTTAATTTAGCAACTTCTGTAGTTCGGTATGATCCGGGTCGTTTCCTCGGTCGGTAAGGCGGCCTACAAGGCCGCGTCAAAAACCGGTTTAACCGCCGGAAAGGAGCAGCCGCCGTACCCTTGCGCGCTCCCCTTGCAGGTGGTGAACGGCCCTGATGATATGGAAAATATTCGTCGTATCGCCGACGCCATCTTCGAGGCCGCCTTGGATCTCTTCCACAACCCCGAGCATGACTGGAAGACGGTAGAATTTCGAGACCCCGACGGCGGCGACCTCGTGCTCATGACGAAATCGCATATCGGGCAATTCAACTTCGCCCGGGCGACGATGAGTTTCATGAACTCCACCCCCGAGCTTTTCCTTTCCACTGTTCATGGGGAGAGTTTCGAGATGCGGAAGGAGTTTAGCTCCGAGCTCGTGACCTTCAACGTGCTCGCGAACCCCACCCCGATGATGAATATTCAATATCACGAGTACCGCGCCCCTCCTCCAATTAGCAACCGCTACCTTATCTACCTCGTCGAAAAGCGCTACGTAGCGGAGGAGGATACCTGGTATATCTACGGCTGCTCGATTAACTACCCGCCCTTTAAAAAGTTCAGCAGCAATGCGGTTTGTTCGATTTGTTTGTGGACTTGGGAGCTCTCACAGGTGGGGAATAACACGATCGCGACGTACGCGTCGTGTTTGAGCCCGAACGGATGGGTACCGACGTTTATTGTGAATTGGATGAAAGGGGCGATTGCGAAGGAGATGGTGGCGATCCGTCGTTTTCTTTATAGGCAACGGCCTGAATACATACCAGTGATGCTATCATCTCCAAAACTTGTCGAGGGGAACGATGAATGCTTTTCAGATGACGTGAGCTGCGATCGTGAGGTGAATCACCGAATTTCTCGTGAGAATTATATACAGAAGCCAAAAAAATTGCTCAATCACGAGGATGACGAAGTGGAAATTCGATTTAGAGATCTTCCCCTTCAGGAAGAGGTGTTCTTGTGGCGTGATTTGGAGGAAAACGAGGAGCTGCAGTTCTTTTAGGCGTTTCTTTTATATTTATGAAAATCAAAAAAATTGATATAAATAAATACATCAAATATATTTAAGCCTGTAACTCTCTTTAATTTTAGAATATTTGCCTCCAATGAACTTATTTCTGTTATAGAATGCGTGTAACATGAGTTATCATTTCTATTTTCAGATGCGTGAGGTTCCGTCATTTGGTTGAATCCAAACTGGTGCATATGTTACTAGAGGGCGAAATTAGTCAAAATTCACTGTACATGTGCTTTTATATCAAAAAAATATCAGCATATTCTTTTTTTAAAGTCTTACTATATAGTATTTTGAGGTTATATACGTATATATATATATACATTGACATGAGAATTTACTCATCCTTTTTTACCTACCTTCATAGGTTGTTCATTTGCACCTTCAGCTTTTCAAATTATAATGTATTGATATCCTTTTTTGCTGAATCCTCATTATTTTATACGTTTCGTCCGGATTAATTACAATATATTAGCATTTCATCGGTTTAATAGTGATACAGATAACAATAAATGTAGTAAAAAAAAAATCCTACTTGCATTTGAATAAAAAAATCTTGAAAATCATATTTTTATCAGATGTTTATTTGTCATGTTAAGTGTGGCTGTGCTACAGTGTGTTGTCGTCCTTTACCCATCTTGGGCTATGTATGCAATGTTTGATTCAAGAGTATTTTTTTTCGAAAATACTCGTGTTAGTGATGTTTATCTGATGCTTCGATTTTTAATCTGCGTTCACTCACTTGATCATTTATTTAGTTGTCTTGAAATTTTTTCCTGTATACCACTGAAAAATTACACATGTTCTTCTTTCATAATAGCGGTCGCATTCCGCTTTAATACTGAACCTTCTGCATGTTTAGCGCATATTAATTTCTAAGTTTTGAAAGGAGATAGAACTAATCCGTCGGTGGTTTTCTTTCCTTCTGCTACTGTCAGTATTTAGTTGAGGCTTCATATCTAGGTTAGACAACCGCCATCGTGTAGAACGGTTGCATTTTGATCAACCACCGTTAAGCAACTCTAGGATTCACAAAGGGGGAGGGGAAGATGGAAAATATCGCCAAATCCGCCGTCTTCACGTCCTCCCAACGCGCTGCGGATGCGTTGGAAAATCTCAAACGCGTCGTTGGGCCCTCGGGCGATTTCAACAACGCGGAGGAGGTGCTCGCGCACTACGCCACGCTCGGCTTTCAGGCAACGCACTTCGCGCAGGCGTGTGGGATTACTCGGCGGATGTTGGAGCCTCAACCCCCTTCGCGAACGTACCTGATTCAAGAGGGTGAATTCGTGGAAGCAAGCGCGGAAATGGATTCGTCGCCGACGCTGGTTTATCCAACGATTTTCCTGGGGATGACGGCGAATTTGCTGGGAACGGGATGTCGTGAGGCATTGCGTTTTCTCCTTCAAGAAGGAATTCAACCCCGTACGGAGGTCCGGCCGAGCGCCATGGTGGATTTCGACGACCTCGCGCGGCTAACGTACCCTGAGATCACCTCTCCCGCGGGGAATCCTTCCAAATCCGCCTCTTCTTCTGCTGCTTCTGGTTCTTCTTTTTTTTCCCCCGAGGGCGAAGAGGCGGGGTCGCATTACAGCTTTCTCTCCGCGCTTGTGGTGAGTGGTGGAGGGATGGAGCACGACTTACGCCGCGCGTGCGAGGCCTATCACCTCACCACCTACGCCAGCGCGAAAGAAAGCCCCGACCAAACGGCAACCCCCCCCCGCCCCGGACGACGCCAGGGGCCTGCGGGAGATTTGGCAACATCGTGTACGGAATCCCCTCGCCGAACCCGTCGGAAAACGGCCCGTCCTCGGCTTCCACGGCCGCCCTTTTTGATCGGTTGATGCGAAACTTCATCGCGGCGTTGCGGGCCCGTCGGGCGAGGCTCCAACGCGAGCGCCCCGAGGCCTCAGAGGCGCTCACGCCGAGTGAGGTCTGGGCCCTCGCGGGGATTTGGCTGGAGGATCTCCTGGCAGACGCCTTGTCGGAGCCCATGAGGCCGGCCCGCGGGGACGCCCCTAAGGACCTTTCCAAGACGGAAAAAACAACCCTGCGAGACGAGGCCAGGCGTCGGGCGCGTCAGACGGTGCTCTACTGGGCTGCCCGGCAGCGGGTGCCGATCTTCTCCCCTTCCCTCGCGGATGGCGATCTCATCGAGTACCTCCTCGACGCCTCGGACGAGACGCATCCGGATCCGAATCCGGATCGCGCCTGTTCTTCTTTTTCGTCGTCGTCGTCCTCCTCGAGGCCGCTCGCGATCGATCTGGTGAGGGATCTCTGCCGGATCAATCGGATGGGGATGTTCAGCAAGTGCACCGGGATGATCCTCTGTGGAGGGGGGCTCGTGAAGCACCACATCGCGAACGCGAATTTGATGCGAAACGGCGCCGACTACGCGGTGGTGTTGAGCAACTCGCAGGAGTTCGACGGATCCGACGCCGGGGCGCGCCCGGATGAGGCCGTTTCGTGGGGAAAAATCCGCATCGACGGGAGCAGCGCGAAGGTGTATAGCGAGGTAACCACCGTCTTTCCGTTGCTCGTCGCGCAGGTCTTTTTACCCCTCGTCAGACGGCAAAGGGAAGAGCGAGAAAAAGCGGGTGTGAAGGCTCGCCAAAGGTGAGCGAGGAGTGGTGAGCGACCACCTCTCTTTCGCGGTTTCGAGGAAAGGGAAAAGCGAAAGCGAGAGGGGCTCCAGCACATGTGGGCCTTTCGTCATGACGCCGTTCGTTTGCATGAAGAAAATTTCACGATCAGCTGCCGTTTCATAACTTGTTTGTTGCTCATTAAAAAAAAAATAACATTTATAATCTCCGCCGGAAGGGGGTGTCTTAAGTGTATTAATGACTCTAAGATAATCTGCAGTCGTTATAGATCAAGCGCTACCTATGATGATCTATACTTCCAAATAATATTTTTTTGTTTGGTTGTGAATCCCGTCCCCCCAAAGACTACGTCTCCATTTCTAACGCCTGTGCGGCTATTGGGGATGGCTATGCTTGGTGTACTTTAGCCTATTATCATTCTTCCCTAATATAGTGTTTGCAAGGCCGATAAAAGGAAGGAAGCGGATAAATGAAAAGCTGTGTTGAGTGTCTGGAAGGATCCTATGAATCTATTAGCCGCCGTCACCGATCTGTGGAGTCTGCTTCAAACCGACACCGTGTGTCTTAATATTGTTTTAGCGACCTTGGTATCCTGCATGGTTGATGTGGGGTATGTTTCCGAGTTGTGGACGGCCTTTCTGCGTCGTTTTTGTGTGAAAACGTTCTTCCATCGCGAGGTGGTGGGGGTTCAGGTGGAGGGTGGGCGTAAAGCGGTGAAGCTCAATCGACTGATCGATAACGAAGCGCTGATTCATATGGTTCTTGGCTATGTCGGATACTTAACGAAATTGGCGACCTTCGGTGAGGCCCCTGAGATTCAACCGGCGGGCAAGATGGCGGGAAATCCAATCCCCCGATCGCCCGCCGCGCGCCATCCAAACCGTTCTCCCGCCGAAGCGGAATCGAACGGCTGGACCGCCCCCGTGGCGGTTTTCCAGGGGCTAAAAAACGTTCGCCACGCGGCCTTTGAATACACCCCGATCACCCAACACACCTTCTCGGCGGACCTCACCCACCCGATTCCCTTCGCAAACGCCAAGTTCAAACCCCGTGACCGCTCTTTAGCCGCGCATTTGGCCTGCCATTATCATCTTTCGTTAGTCCCCGCGCCGGATCGCGCGTTGGAGGTCGAACCGGGGCTGTTTCTTCGCTACTCCCACGCCGCGCGGGAAGGAAACCCGAGGGGGGAGGCCTCGGCTGCGGATCCCGCGGCCGACGGAAGGGGGTTTGGGGATTTCCTCCACCCCCTTCCTTCGGATGCGTCTTTTGACGGGGAAAGGGAAGGGGAAAGGGA